ATTATGCACAATTTGGCGACGCTGAATATGATGCTGAATTCAACTCGGTGAAAGGTATGTTGACTTAGGATGCAGGATCAACGTGGATCAAGCCACCCGTGACGCACACAAGACTCAAACAAGCCAGTGCACACGTTGATTTAAAACTCCGATACCTGCGATGATTGCCTTAGGCGTCTAACCATAAGGCATACTGGTATGCTAATTCTGATGAAGAGGAAGATGTCGCCTGTGTCTACGGGTACTCCTGAAAGTATAAAGACGCATAAGTCTGTTCTCGATTTGCGGCATGTTACCGTCCGTCTGGTGTTCTGCGAACGGCATTGTCAGCCTTGGACGGACAGGTAATATGCCGAAGCTAACGAATGGGAGAGTGAGGATTATACAAGCCAGCAATTTGCTTGGGAGGAGATTGGAGAAATCTTGGGAAACCACGAGTCTCCCCAACTGGCTTGGGAAAGACTGGGGCTTCCCAAGGTTTCCCGAGCAAGCTTCTCTATCGGGCGTCGCTTGGGGAAACTCAGGATTTCCCTGAGCCTCTCCGATCATCATACGTAGTTCGGGTGCCGCATGGGACTCCTTGACTGGCCGTTTGGGGAGAGGTTGGCAAAGTCCGATCAGAATATGTCATTTTTCAGTGTGTCACCGCATTGGCAGCCCGGGGAACGCTCTAGACAACCCTTGGACAAATATTGGAGTACGGTCCGAAACGGGCTGGGAATCCCACCCCACTTTTGGGGCTGATCCCAGCTATTACGCAACCGGCAAAGTTGGGGAACGGTCGGGATATCCCAGTTGGCATTGGACCGAAATTGCTGACTAGGAAGCGTGAGTGGGAAAGAATGACAAAAATAGCTGAGTGACTTTCTGTTCATGGACAGCCTTTTCTAAGAAAAACACCGAAGTAGACATCCCACCCGCGAATGCATACGCCGATAAAAATGGGCATTTTTCACTAAGCGACACCTGACGGACACAGATAGCTATACACGTGCACGGAGGGTGGCCACTGGGTAACGCGTTCAACGTCATTTTTCACTAAGCGACACCTGACGGACACAGATAGCTATACACGTGCCCGGAGGGTAGCCACTGGGTATCGCGTTCAATGTTTATTGAAAAGTAAACAAGCTAAGAAATACAATTCAACTTAGTGCTGTCACCAACGGATTCAGTGGGAGGGAGCAATTAGCCATGATTTACCCTCCACCTGCTCCCAGGTAATGACTTTGTAACCACATATCAAACTGCTGTGATTACTAGTTTGAAGCCACTGTGGAGTATTACTATTAGTGACGTGCTCGCGTTAAGGATCTAGGATGCCTTTAAATTATCCTTCACCGAAACCATCATCCTTGTAGGATTAAAGATGCCACCAGGTGCTGGACATTTGTCAAATCAATCAGTATGTTTTGAATTTTTTTCAATGCATTAAATCGTCTGTGAACCTATTAAAATGTCTCAAACGTCAATTCGTCTGCATTGGCCAACAAAAGCAAGCCAGTCCCATGCTCATCCGTGTGCTGCCGAAATGTTCTCATGCAGTCCAATCCGTTGCGCGGGACCATCCACCATTCGTGGATTGGTTCAATCCGTGAAGCTCTCTATTATGGGGGCCCAACATGCCAAGCGCCAATCAACTTTGGATAGTTTTTCAGGCGCTTCAGAGACAATTAAACGAGCCTATCTTCTTCCACATGTGCCAAGATTACACGTAAGGCAATGGGGGCGATGTTGACATTGCCCGCCGCTGAAATTATCGCTTTGTTTGATTGGGCCGGCAATTCTGGATGTGGACTTTGAGCTCTGGCGTTGCCAAGCCATTGATCCAAATCCAACGATGCCTTTTCATTTCTAAATTTACCTTTATTTGAATGCACCTTTGAACTGTTAGAGTCATTTAATGCTCTTTCCCTGGCAAAAAGGAACAGGACACTAAGATAATCGTAGTGGTATGCTCGCCGGCCTATGGAAACGGATGCCCGTCACAAGCAGCAGTACATCCGCCAACATTAAAACACCCCCAGAGGTAAAAACCACGCCCGTCTCCCAAAAAATACAAATGGACTGATCTATCTCGTTAACCCTGGCCATGCTTCGTCGTCTTTCATAACGCGGACTGATAGTGTGTGTGGGGGGGGGGGAGGGGGTGATGCGAATACCACCATCTGGCGTTTCCAGAGAAATGAAGATACAGCTTAGCAGAAAACACCAGCGGATTTCGCTCAACAAGATCCCGCGATTGGTGCTAGCTTGCATGCTGTTAGCTCAATAATTGACCTTAGTATGACGCGTCATGTTGAGTTTTCTAGAAAATCGCGCTTCTTCAGCTTATATTATACTTACGAGACCATGAGTTGTGGGATCACGAAACTTAAACAGGCGAGTTCTTTGTTTACCATTGAGTACAATGAATCCTACGTTTATGTGCTTTGGGGATGCGTTTATCGCATATGGCTCTGTTAATGTAACAGCACGACCCGTCGCGCGCTTCCGCGACATCGACAGCTGCCGCCCGCCGCCCGCGCCGGCCGTAGATCGCGTGCAGTATTCTTTAAAAACCGCCGCTGCTTCGGAACCAGGCAAGCTAGGAACACGTTATTGGTGTCGAGCACGCACAATGAACGCCTTATAGTCAAATCAATCTTTGGGCAGAAAGATATTCTCATAGAGCCGTAGGGGGATGGATCAACCCCTTCCCCTTTTACGCTTGCTGATTGCTATATTCAGGTACATTCTGCCATTTATTTTTTTCATTTTTCTATCATTTATGCCAATGAGAAAGTGAACGTGGCAGAGCCCTTATCCTTGCCTTATGTGCACAATACTCCCTGGGCACAGAACAGTTTCCAGCGTCTCTTTCAACACTAACTTAAGAAAATTCGCAATGACACTCTGCTCATACTGAGGCTAAATATTCAAATTCTTATATCACGTGTGAGCTGCAGTGAAATGAACATCTTCACGCAATGAAAGAACAAATGCTCACAAGCTAGATATTCGGCGACATGCCTCGTTCGCGACCAACCACTACATATTTCGTTGGACAGGCACCAGTGCAAAGTTGGGTATGCTCAACCCACTTGCCTCGACCAATATTTGCAGGTGGCTACTCCTCCTCACGACGCCCACTTCTCACCCTCCGAATGTTATATTCAAGTTTGCCTGCGCTTACCAGCTCCCATATTCCTATTGGCAAAACGCATACAGGGCACAAATCCAGATGGTTAACAATGGTCAGTGCTGTCATAGTGCATTTTAAGGCAAATCGCGCCACTCTGACAAGAGCGGAATTATGCAACACAAAAATAATGGCGTCATTAGTATCTAAGTCATCATCACTCAACTATACTGTGCTTTTTCCAGTAAGACATATATCTTACGCTGTGCTTATAAATCGAATTACTTGTTGGATTGCTCCAATGCAAAGCTGATGCACAATCTCAGCTTGACAGTGACGGTTACGGTTACATCACGTCATATCATACTCATATGCGAAGTTTATGTCTTCCGTGAACGGTTAATTTTTACGCGCATGAGAAAGCGCCGTAAGGACAAAGATCATCAAAAACTGAACTAAAATGACCGTTCAAAAAATTGGGACGCAGCGGTGTGTGCCCACAAATCGACCACAAGCTGCACCCCACACGGCAGTGCTGAAAAAGGGTGCAGGCTTTGATGTGTGCCTGCCACGTTCGTGGGCGAGTGGAACACGCGGTCGGCATTACAATAGTGTTAACTTGCACGACCAGTACCGCCACTGGAATGTTCGTGCTTGCCGCAGTATATAACAAATGCTTTAGTCGTGCCAGATAAGGACTGAGATTCTAGAAGGCTCAAGAGATCAGATCCCGCCTTAATTTTCATAGTTTTCTTCCATCTCACGCTGACTAAATCAAGCCGAGAGCTGAAAAACTAAGGGACGAAATCAAAACGGGCTAAGTTTCGGGTTTTGCTACGTTAGCCTGCAATACGATTGCCCGCCTCCCCCCAAGAAAAAACGAAAGGCTGAAACCGCTAGTGAGTTTTGTTCCCAATTTGTGTTAGAAATCGCATCAAGATCAAATAAACAGGATCAAGCAAAATATGAGGAAGTAGACTTGGGGTTGAGTTGAGAAAAAATGCTGGCGACAGCTGTGACGTGGCGCACGCGCTGTGGGGCGTGATGGCGCGGACGTGAAATATAGGGGTGTCACTCAAAACAGCGTGCGTGTGGACATGGTATTTTGGTCCGAAATGAATACATCCCGCCGCTTTCGCAAGAAATGACACTGAGCTTTGTTTCAATTTTAGAGGACAAACGCTAGTCAGTCATCTAATTCTCAGTCAGTGTCAGATATCTAATTCAGTGTCAAAAGTAACAGCCCGAGTTGAAAGATACTCGATTAATTTTCTGAGCCATCTTTTGTGTACATCCAACTAACTTAAGGAATGGCTTGCGGTGATATATTTATGTGCATTGTTAAGATGCAATTTATACTCTTATCCACACAATTGCGGTAAAACAGTTATCTTCTCGTGCCTTTCATTCTACATCTTGCGATTTGAAAAAAAATGTTGTGCATGATGAAACTCATCTGTACATAGTAGGTTCATTTTGGAATATAATCAGGGCTTATGATACAAGTCTTATTTGTGACGTTCACCAGGTCCTGGGTGCAACAGCTGCCTGCAAGGTGCTGTATTGTCAGTTTTCACTGATGGTTCATATGAACGCGATATGCAACTGCGCTCACCGAAACCGGCGCACATTTCAACAGAACGGGCGTCTTGAATTCAAAGTACATTACTCAGAAATACTGCCGTCACGGAAGGCCGCGCGTGTATGCCATAGTGCAAGGCTCCAGGGGCCGCGACCCGGTGCCTCCTCCCCCTCGCGTTGGCGACGCCCCGCCAGCGCGCGGGCTCGTCGCGCGCCGGGCGCCGGCACCGCCCTCTGTCGGCGGACGGCAGCTCCGCTCCGCTCGGTCACGTTTGACTCGCTAGTTGTGGCCGGCTGCCGCCGCGGCGCTAGCGTCAGTTGTCCGTGTGAGGCCTCGCGGGTGGCTGTGGGGCGTTGGAGCTGCTGCTGCCGCATTTTAATCTCTTACTTGTGTGACTGAGCTAGACCTTAGAGCTGTCAAAATGAAGTTTGAATACATTTTCCTGCCCTTCTTGATACAAGGTAAGACATTGCGTCGGTTACTGTATCGTCCTGGAACGTGGGGTCTTTCCGGGTCGCTGCGGCGCATGACCGTTTGTACTGCCAGGGTTGTGCTTGCTGCGTGGTTTTCATTGCACTCTTTAGAATCAGCTGCGCTCTTTTTCGAACGTCCTAAAGTTGTTCTTAGAAGTGGTGTGAGAGCCAACCGCCTCTGAAAACAACTCCTTCTTCAAACTCTTTGTGGTGAACGGGCGGCTTCCCAGATCGATACAAGGTGTGGTCGAGGCGCAGACTCGGTCGCTTACGCCCCCGCCCACGTGTGACCTGTGACCTTTGCTGGCCGTCTGGAGGCTGGTGGACTGGCGTGAGGTGGACGCCGGCCGCGCGGCCGGCGGGCGGTTTTTGTTCGCGGCCGAGCGGGTGGCGCGGCCGCCGCTCGCCTCGGCTTTGTTTGTCGGACCGCCGCGGGGCCGGCTCGCCTGTTTGTCGCCGAGGATGCCCCACGGCCGCGCCGGCATCAACAGGAGACCGCGCTCCTGGCTCGGAGATGGGATTAGACGAGACGCCCCTCCGAGCGCTCCCAGCAGATCGATAGCTCGCCCCTCAGGCAGCGCCGGGATGAGACTCGTTCGCCTCTGGCTCCCGGCGGATCGATGCCACTGCTCCGCCGACGCTGAGCGGTGCCACTGCGGCTGGTGGACGGCCAGCGCCACCGGCCAGCGGCCGCGCCATGTCCCGGTGCTGGGCGCGCCTTTGTTCACCTCTTCTCGCGTCGGGATCGCTGCCATATTGATCGAGGGCTTCCGTTAGGAGGTCGGTTGGTGGGTCGGCCATTTTTGAACGGAGTGCTGGAAAGAAACGAGCCTTGTGCTGCCTATAATTCGTATCAGCGAACAACAACCATAGAAACATATCTTGTAAATATATACATGTATATATATATATGAATATGTATATAGTATAAAACATATATGTATACATATACATAATGTGAGATTTTAATTATATAACATGCCATGTTTAAATGTGAGGCTCCGTCTGTCGCTAGGCATCCTAAAATCCACGGCGTAAAGTTATAACGTGTGTTTGTTGACCTGCATGCACACCTTACAGCATCATGCACCCCTTACAGCATTTGTTCACTAAGGTCTTTGGACGTGGCACAAAGCTGTTTCCGTTTTTCCTGCCAAGGGAAACAATCCAACGAAATTGCAAGAACTATTATAAGAAAACGCCGATATTTTGCCCGTACCCCACCGCGTTTGGTTTCCTGCCCGCCGGCATCTGGAAGCGGAGCCGAGATCCTTGATCTGGAAACCGGTTCTGCAGAATTCTGGGACCCGCACAGTTTTACCCGAGGTCGCATACCTGCCGAGACCCATTCAGTACGTCATTCGACGTGGCGTTCGCTCAGTGCGCCCACACACGGTGCTTAATGCGCTCGTAACACGTAGGTATCTAACACCAGCCTTATATTGTCATTATATCATTAATTATTACATTGTAACTCATTTAGTAGTCTTATGCTCGTATATGGTAGCCGTATGGGGCAATGCATATGGCTTAAGGATTCATATGAAGTTAATGAACTATTTTTTGTGCGTTCATTTTCAAGCAATAATAGCATGATAAACATTTACAGGTTGTAGAATATTTAACATGAGGTTTTTTTACTCATTCTGACAGGCATAGCGAACTATATCAGCCGGGGCAGGCCTACCTTGCGATCCTCAGTAACTAGTCGATATATGTAAAGCTCTGGAATGACGTAGGCGTACACCACCGGCGGTGATTGCGCTTCTGCCGGCTTCTGAGTCACCACATCAGCAGCTCTGGTGCTGCTCTGAGTCAACAGGTCCGGCTGGTGATTCGCTGCCGGCCCGGAAGCGGAGGCGACCACGGCGCGCGCGGGGCGAGCCACGGCAGTGCTAGCGCTACCTTGCGTGGAGCTCGCCAATCTGGGTGCCCTGGAGACTGCATGCCCACACAGGAGCGTAGCAGCACTGTAATCAGGCGCAGTATCCTCGAGTGGTCGGAAGTCGGTATTCGGCAGATATGGCGTGGACGCGAAATGAGGCGGGCACCCGATAGGATATTTTATCGCTCAATCCCGCTATCATATATAAATCAATCGCTCAATCCCGCTATATAATCCCACTGTCGCTGGTCTACGGCGTGGTATGGAGCACACTAATACACAATAGCCTCTGCCGGGCAGAAAATTTATGGGGCCATCTAGACTCTCGTGGATGAGCCTACCTTCGAATTTCCAAGATGTGTCTGAAATGCAGCTAGATACTGCCTACGCTGCGTTCTGGGCCTGCGACCAATGAGTTTCAAATGTCTTTTTAAAAGCGTTTCCCCGCTGTTTTCGTGATCGATGGCCGACGACAGCGGCGACTACCGTTTGGATGCGGGCACCTTCCGTGGGAAGAGCCGTTCGCGCTGCGTGAGTCAACCAATCGCCGCCTGCAGGCTCACGACGTCGCCGTTCGCCGGCCGGCTAACCGCTGCGGCGTGGCGTCTGCCGCGGCGGCGCCGCAGCTCGAACCGTTACCCGCGCCTCCCGCGCTCTCACCTGGCCTCAGCGGCGGCGCGGCCCGGCGGGAGGTCGCGCCGACCGCGGTCCGGGCCGCGCGGGCTCGGTCGGCCCGGCGGCGGCAGCGCCGGGCGCGGGCGGGTGACGAATGTGTCCGCGCCCGAGCAGGCGAAAGCCAGCCACGTGCGCCTAGTCCGTTCGCACTTTCGCCTGATGATGCTGGCCTCTGACCTTCTGCAGGGCGTCTTTCCTGCATGTGTCAGCACCGGAAACGATTCACGCTGCCATCCCGGAAATCCCCTCTGGGGCGTCACAAAGGGTAGGCGCGCAGGCCCGGTGACGATGCCTGGTTAGCGGGGCATCCGGGCAGGGGGCGCCCCGGCTGGCTCTTTGTCTCCGCTCGCTGGCCTCTGGGCACGACAGGCAGATGATCTGCGGCGATCACCAATGGCGCTGCAGGGAGGCCACCGTGCTCGAAGCCTGTGGCGGCCTGTGTACCGGCTGGAGGGGGGGGGGGGGGCGGCCTGCATCATTCTCTGCGGCAGCTCTGACCGGGTGCACGCACGCTCAATGTAGTGTATCGCACACGCCAACCCGGGCGACGGAGGCTCGGCTGGACCATGTCCGCCGCGTCGGAGCGGGAAAGCGGCCCGTCGCGCAGCGCCCTTCTGTCGAAGCGATGTCCCACCGGTGCGCCTCTCCCCTCATCCGGTGGTGACCCGCCCGCGCGCCTCGAGCCACCGCCGCGGGGCACCGACCTCTCCCGGAAGCGGGCAACGGGACCGGTCCCAGCTGCGGTCCGGCCGGGCCGGTCTCGCTCGCTGGTGACCAGTGGCCACCTGCGCCACCTGCCGCCGCCGGCCCAACTCCGGCAACGGCGGACGCCGCATGAACGGATGTCGGTGGGGGGGGGGACCTCCTCCTTCTTCGGTCTGCCGCACTTCAGGGCGCATTCTGGAGGGCATCCTCACGCTGCTTTGATTTTAAAATGCTCCGCTTTGCCCAACGATCTAAGTCAGGTTCATAAGGTGATACCGGATGTGATTTGTAAAGTAGGAGCAGTGACGCTCATCATGAGAGATGATAGGCATCGCAGCATTAGTTATCTTCGATACTTGCCGGCCTTCCAACCCTCCACTCTACTGTCGGTCGAGCCGCTGCATACCGCCACCGATGGCGTCCCCCCCCCCTCTCGGCGTGGCTGTGTCCCTCGGCTGCCGCCGGGCCTCCCCTGCGGTGGCCTCGGGGCGGCCCGGCTGCGCGGTCGCCCGTCGCCGCGCGCGCCGCCGACAGCCGGCCGCTAATCGCGTCGGCAGGCGTCACCGGGGCCGCTAATGATCACGCGCCTCCTGCCTGCACCGGCCGCCGCTGACGCCGTGTTAATTCGCCATTCACTATGCCCCCGCCGACGCGAGGGAGGCGGCGCGGCACAATGGTCGGCACCCTACCCCGGGCGGCGCACTGTAAAGAACGACCGGCTCCCATCACCGGCACATGAATGTTTTCATAAGCCCGTGAACGACGCCAATCTGGTACGCCATCGATCCAGCGCGTCTGGCATCGTTTTCAGGGTTAGGCTGAAAACAAAACAGCCGATGGTCTCGCTCAGAGCGCTCGAGCACTTGAGCACTGTTGCCTGCAGGGCAGCTGCTCTTCGCTTGGGATCAGCCGCTAAGACTTGCGCGCCATACAAACATTTGCTAATACGATCTGAAAGACTTCCAGCATAAATCGAGGTCACCAAATTAAATTTTCCGGTTCCCCTGCTTTCCCCCAATCATCTCATCGTCTTCCCATTCCCAGTGCTTTGAAACCGGGCCTCCCCAGGCACCGTACACTACGGGCCAGCAAGTTCAGGCCGTCGCTCCTTCCCTCACTCGGAGCAGCGGTAAAGCGGAGGCGCGGGCGACGATGCGCCACGGCCAGCGGTTGTAACCGCCGCTCCTTCCCTTCACTCGGAGCAGCGCTAAAGGGGAGGCGCGGGCGGCGATGCGCCACATCCAGCGGTTGTAACCGCCGCTCCTTCCCCCACACGAAGCAACGCCAAAGCGGAGGCGCGGGGCAGTGATGCGTCACGATCCTCACCGCCTCGGCAGTCAATTTACGGGGTCCGCAAAAAACGGGGACGGTCATGGAAACGGCGCCGGCGCGCAGATCAGGCTAATTCCCCCAGCGCCCAGCCAATCTTCGTAAAGGTCTCCCGGCTTTGCCAGTAACAGGCCGACAATGACAGCGTCTGAAGATTCAATGTTGCCTGTAATCCAGACGAAGTGGGGGAGGGTGGGTTCCGTTGCGCGCCGACCGGGGCTATGTCACTTGTTCGTTACCAAACGAAAACTGCCAGAAGCTCGACTGGGTGTGCCATCGGCTTTCGCACTTTTGTTGGCCGTCCAGCGAAAAACGGGGCGGGGGGCGGCACAGAGGCTACCGGCGCTGCGTGGCAATTGTTCTGTTCACGGGCGCCTTTATTTCTGACAGGCTG